AGGCCTTGGAGTCCTGCCTGCCTTCTCCTCTGCACCACCATGGTGACTGTGCTATCTGCCTGCTCCACAAAAAAAACCCCAAAAACAGGTCTGATTCCTCTCTTGCTGGGCACTGCTGCTTTGTGCTCTGCTCCAGACTGCTTGTTAAGGAGTATTTGCTCTGAGTTGCTGTTTTCAGTTGACACAACTCGCCTTGGAAAGCAAATACTCAATCCTAAAACATCCCTGTATTGCTTCTCAATAGTTGTAATCAAAGTCTGTCTCCTTTATTGTTCCTAACAATTGTTCAATTTTACTGTGCCAGCCCTATTTATTAAAAATAGTCAATAAGACACAGCTTTGTGTGAGGGGTTTATGGACTGGCAGTTCTTATTTGAAACAAACCAATTGTACTTGATTCTAATCCAGAGCTGGGATTCCTGAGTGATCTGCTGCTGCAGAGCTCATGGGGAGTGCGGTCGATGGCTTGCTGATAAGAAATCTTGGAGCAGCACGCTTATCTTGGATTTACCTCAGCTTTGCTTAAAATGCTGGATTCAGAAAGGCAAGAATGGCAAGTCACATGTTTTWCCCCCTTTTTGGGCCTGTGTTGGGCCCCGCTTGTTCCCTGGTGCCCAAGACTATTTWCAGAACTAATTGCCAAAGTCAGAATCCTCTTAGACACTGGTGAGCAGGACGTTCAAGGTGAGAGCCTATTGTGGAGGGTGGGGTGTCAGATCAGCAGTCATGGGAAGAAGCTGCATGGATCCCGCTTTCTTGGAAAAACATGAGGTGTCTGAGACCATGATGTGTGCAGTGAGAAAGATGGGAGCTGTTGGGAAGGATGATGGGAAACAAAAACCTGGTGAATCTTGGGAACAAGATGCCAGTTGTGGCTGAAAGATCAGTAGGAATGTAGGAGYGGTGAGTTCAGCTTCCAGGGCTTTTTCATGCTCAGCAGACTTTTTTCCTGGGCTGGAGCAGGCCAGAGCTCGGCAGTGCCTGCGTAAGCATTTTGGGAGAGGGGAAACGATGAGGAATCCTGGCTATGGCCAGCTGGAGGTGGGGCAGCACGGGGAAAGGCACTACRGGGCAAAGCTGGGCTTTGCAGATGGTTTGGATTTTAGTCTCTGCCATCACAAGAAGGTTTGGGGCCTTCTGTGATTCAGGGCGTGACTTGGGGGCTCCAGAGGAAGTGCTTGGGAGCAGGTAGGAAGGGTCTGGTTCAAATGGGAGAGCAAAATCATTTGTTTCCTTGTTTTTGAGAAGATGTGAAGCACAGTGGTTGGGAAGATGAGCCTTTTGAGCATGGATTGATGCAGCAGGGTTTGTGGATTTTCCTTACAGTTCTTCCAGCCAGCAGAGATCACTGAACTTGTTTCCTCGCACTGTGTTTCAATTTGACACCCTTCTTTGTTTTCCATATTCATTAGAAATCTGTTGCAGAGTTTTCTGTTTCTAGGGGCAGTTTCCTTTTACTTCTAACATACTTGATATCCTCTCCAGTTACAYTGGGATCAGGGCAGGTCCTCTGTGCCCATGTCATTCTTGCATCTTCTTTAAAAACAGTGTGTGCACCCCAAAACTCTACTCCTGAAACRAATCCAGTCTCCAGCATTCATAAGCAAAAGGAAACGCTTATCTTTGCACCAAAGATAAGGATTTTCAGCCCTGCAATTCATTGAAGTTGCATCTGAATGGTAGGATTTAGTTATAATATATGGTTTGCAGTGGTTGTGTGACAGTGACTAATGCCATGACCGGGCTGGCCAGCCGGGCTGCAATTCTGCTGTGCTGTCATGCCCTGAGCACGGAAAGTGAAGCGGTTCTGGATGGCCCGTGCTTGGCACTGCGCTGYCAATCGCCTCCCTAATGACTCTTTTAAAGAATAACAGCACAAGCCTCCTAGGATGCTTTTTTAGTTCTGTCCCTTCTTTCATTTACTGGGTCTCCTCCCTGCCCCCAGCTCAYGCCTTGGTGCTCCCTCCAGTGTTTTGTTTCCTCTTCCTCCATTCCCTTTGCTCTCATACCTTGTCCTTTCTCCTCGCCTGCTTTTCTGCCCTCCCTGATTCCTGCTTTTGAAATACATCACTTACTTCCCAATCCACACTAATAATCTTTGTCCCACCTACCCATGAGGCATGAACGTTTTACAGGGGCCCATTAGCTGTTACCTCTGTCCCTACCCTCCAAACACTCCAGGAAAAAGCAAGGTCTAACACTGTTCCTGTGGGGGCATCACCTGCTCTTTTTGCRAGTCCCAGATTTCCTTCCTAAGCTCCTCGTCCTTCTGCTCAGACAAGAGGAATTTTTGCTTTAAAATGCCTCTTATCCCAAAAGCTGCTGGGAGAGCAGGATGGTTGTGCGCAGCCCTTCCTGCCTGGATCATCTCCGRTGCTCCTCAGGGTTAATTCAATCCCTCAGTTTGCTGGATCCTGGCAGGGTTTAGGGGCACCACATTGTCCCCATAGCCTTGGGAAGCTCTGCTGTGGAGATCACGAGGGCAAAACTCTCCTGCTGCAGTGGAGTGTGGCCGAGAGAGTGGGGGTGGCTGGCAGGATGAGCTGGGCTATAAAGGGACTGTTTTTCTTAGCCTTTATCTCTGCTGTTTTGCACCAGTGCAAATTTGYGCTGTGCATGTGCTCTACCTTAGTTTTTGTTTTAAAAAAAGCAGTTTTCACCACTAGTCCTTGCTTTTTCTTTCAAAGCATGCTTTAAAGGCAAACATTTTTGGGGTGACTGTATACAAGCAAGGTGTTCAGAGCCTTTTTTTGTTGGTATTTGGGGCACTACTCCCCATTATCTGCCATTTTCCCCATCCTTGCAGAGATCAGTGCTACCTGTATTAGTCTGACTGCACTATGCATCATCTTGGGGGTTTTTTTTGTCTCCTTTTATACAGTATGCTCACATCTCATGCCCCACTTCCAGGCTTGTTTTTGCTCTTGCTGTTTTCCTTCTGTCTGTCCTCCACCTTGGAAGGTTTCCAGGCAGGCTGTCCACTCCAGCTCGGCAGATCCCACCGCGTGTGCTCCTGGCCGAGCCCTGGGGAAGCACGGGGAGGATCTGGATGCAGGCAGCCTGCAAATGCTGCCTTGTTTATGAGAGCTGCTTGTTGGTGCAGACTGCAGTCTGGGGGGAGCTGGGAAACTTTGTCTGGCATCAGGCACTAAAGCTGACAAAAGATTGTCGGGCTTGGGCTGGAATCAGTAAAACACGGGGTGTTGGCGAGTGAAGGTCAGAGCTCTTCCTTGGTTTACCCTGTTCTTTGAATATCCCAGCATTTACTGATGGCTGCAGTGGACACAGGGAAAAACAAGACAGACTTGATCCTTGGAGGGTGTTGCTTTTGTTTATTTGGGTGCAGATCTCTCCCCCTGTTCTGTAAGGTTTTGGGGACCCTTTCCATGCAGCCCGGTCTGGTGGTAGGAGGTTGGAGCAGGATGAGCTTTAAGGTCCCTTCCGMCCCAAACCATCCTGGCATTCTGAGATGCTGTGAAATCCCTGGTGYAGAGGCATTGCAAAATGGCAGCAACCTACATCTGCTTGTCTGGGAGATATCCCAGCACCCGGTGCTGCGGCTCTTGAACTCCTCTGCCTTAATGGGTCAAATTTAGCAATTCAAAATCTGGCTTGTGAGGTAATTAGGAGGGATAATGCCCACTTCTTCCTCTTAACACCCTGATAGAAAAGCATCCAGGAAGGACTCCTGGACCTCAAAGATAAGCTGCCAGCTGCCACAGAGACTATCAAAGGGTGGCTCAAAGTCAAGAGCAAACAGCTGATTTTTTATGGTTCTTGGGTTTTTGCTGGTGGTGACAGGAAGCCATGTTCCCCAAGCTGTTCGCTTCCTGTTTTATTTTTACACCCAGCCCAAGCAGATCCGCATGCCTATCACATGGGAACTGCCTGCTTCTCTTGGGTTCCTCATCTGACCTAGAAAAGTGATTCTTTCCCCTTCTAAATTAATCAAGAACTTGGGATGTATTTGCTTTCACTTAGTCCTRAAGATTTCAGGCATGTATGATGCTYCTTGTAGTGAGCTGGTCACCCAGGTTTCCTTCTCTGTCTCGGAGCTCGATTATCTGGGAAAAAGTTGTTTGATGCTTCAGCATTTGGGCCTCTTGGCAAAGTAGATTTTCATTAATTGGAGACATTGACCTGCACACAAAAGCGTTCTCTGTCTCCAAAGGATAACTTCTGGACGCTTAAGTTTTCTTCAAGTTTTTTGGTTTTGGTTGGGGTTTTGTTTGTTTGTTTGTTTGTTTGTTTGTTTGTTTGTTTGTTTGTTTAAAAGAACTGGAAGTTTGTCCTGCCTGTTGTACAATCAGTCTTGACTTCTTTCAGAGCACACTGCAGTCCTGCATCCTGCTTAGAGCTCACTCAATCTTAAACTGCTCTAGCACAAAACAATGGTCCAGTGTAAACCTCATCCCCAGGGGTTTTCCCAAGGGAAGAGGGATGCAGCCTGCAGGATAAGGARCAGTCACCAGAAAGTTTCCTGGTCAGCTGCAAGCGCTTCCTGTTGTTCCYGTGTTCTGCTCCAGGAGGGAGGTGCCACACGCGCTTTGGTGTGCTGGGAGAAGCTGTTTCGTTCTTTCTTTTTTTATGTAATAACATCTCCCGTGTTGATGTGCTCGGTTTAAGCAGCTATTGATTTCAAGTTTGAGCTGTTTGAGGAGCAGCCTGTAAGAGTGGCAGTGTGAGCGCGGAGGCAGGAGCCCGAGCTGGCAGGAAGGAACAAGGGCTGTGGTGGTGCCAGCAGCACCCAGAATGTGCAGTCACCATCTCTGCCTCTCTACCTGGCCTGCTGGGGCTCTGCTGTCACTGCCACTCACAGAACAGGAGGATCTTTATTTCTCATGAACCAGTTTTCTCAGGGTGAGGAGGGGRGAAAAGAAGCCTTATAAATAAAGCCATTTGAGAGCAGGAAAAACGAACACCATGGCTCTGGTGTGCCTGGAATTTGCGGTTGAGTAATCCTTTCCTGTTTCTTTTTTGGGTTGTTTTTCATCTTTCAGAACAGTGCCTGAAGCAGGTCCACCATGCCGTTAGTAACGAGGAACATTGAGCCAAGGCACCTGTGCCGTCAGACGTTGCCTAGCGTTCCGAGCGAGCTGGAATGCGTGACCAACATCACCCTGGCAAATGTCATTCGACAGCTGGGCAGCCTGAGTGAGTACCATGGCGAGCCTGCGCGTTGCCCTCAGGAGTCGCTACTGCTCTTTATTTAGCTCCCTTTCTACTCTCGTGTTCCTATTTCTCCCCCATCTGCCTTCCCTGGGTAATGCTATCATGTTTTCCTAAAGAAATCTGATGCTAATTTCATATCCCCGGTCCCACTGCCTTCCTATCTAAGAGAAAATGGGGAGGGGGGTGTGTGTATGTGTGTGTGTGTATGTGAGAGGCTGCAGTGAAACTGCAGATGGAAGGATGGAGCACAACTCAGCCTTGTAAAATGGGAGGCTCTGGGAGCAGGCAGGATCTTGTATCAGAGAACGTGCCTGTAATTCCATGTGGTACTAAATGGAGCTTGACTCTCTTGAATCTACACCGTGTCAGTGGTCTTACTTCTAAGGAAAGATAATTAAAGCCTCCACACAGAAGCTCCTGTTTGCCCCTGCTGCTGTTTGTGGCATTGTCAGACCAAAGACCTGTGTAAGCAGTGTCTTCAGAGTGTCAGCATTCAGGTCTGCATGAGCTGGAGCCATCCTGCCTCAGCTCTCCCGTGGGCTGACCCATAGATCTGGAAAAGCTGGAGGGAAAACACAGGCCTACATGCTGTAGGAGAAACGAAGAGTTAATTGTGGTCTCTCCAGGAAGATTCCATAGTCTGTTAAAATGCTCTGGGTTCTGATTAACCACCTTTGTCCTTGAAGCGAGACTTTGATAATCAAATTAATCTATTGTTTAGCTTCTCTGGGGTGTTTRCAAGCCCTTGTGCATGCTCTGCAAAGCAAGCCTTGTCTTCCGCCATGTGGCAGGGATAGTTTGGGTGCAGCCTCTTTCCAGCAGTGCAAACCATGGCTGTCGCTGAAATCTGGGCCCGTGTTTGCTGCCAGTCGGTGTCACATTCTGTTGGGTTGGAGAAATGTCACTGCACAGGCGAGAGCAGGCTCTCTGCTCGTGTTCAACTGGCCCTTGCTGTTCATTTGTTAGGTCTGGTAGCCAAGATGGTTGTGGAGTGTGAGTGAAATCCATCTCGTGCATGTGAAATGGTGAGGAAGGAGGCAGTAAAGCTGTGCAAAGCCCAGCTGCAGGGAAAGCTCATCCCTGTTCAGAGGCGCCGTGGGTTAGTGTGACAGAGCCCCAGCCAGATTCCACAGGTTTACACCTTCTTTGCATAGATATTCAAAGCTTCTCTGAAGTTCTGGGAGCCAAATTGCAGCACGTTTTCKTCCTCAGGAAGGTGTCCTGGGGGCTGGGATGTGGGGATGCTGGAAGGAGGTGAGGTGTGAGCTGCTGGAGCAGTCACAGGTACCTGGAGGGGAAATGGAGGAGAGGTGGAGCAGGCGGRTGGGGAGAAAATGCTGAGCACCATCCACTGCCCAGGGTCAGCAGTATTTTAAATACAGCAATGTTTAGACTGTGCTCGCACCCAAATGACCAAACTCCTGCCCCCTGCCCTTTCCTCTCCTCCAAAACACAAATTCACTCTCTGCTTGTACCTTGACTATTACAGGAACGTAGAGCAGGTTCAGTAGGCTGTGACAGCCCTGTCAAGTGAATAATCAGCCATGCCTGGTGCACAACAGTCTCTTTACAAAGATGCAAACATAAATCTTGTCAAACTTTCATATTCCAGTGAGTTTCCCCTTCGTTACTATCGCAGCTGGGAGCACTTTGTATAAGTCGACTGTGTGATTTTATAGAATTCACAAGCTAAAGATGGAAGGACCTGTTAAATCATGCCGTCTGTCTTCCTGCCAGTGCATGACAAAGATAATTCTGATTGTAAGCTGCACTTTTGCAGTCAAAGTAACTAAACTAAAAAATTAATCTCTGTCTTACTCTATCTGAAAGTGTACATGAAGCACAGGTGATGTGTGAGATGTTGGGTGATAACTCCATGTGCACTTACACAGGCAAGGGAGCACAGACCATCCCTTCTTCTCCCTCCAGGATCTAAACCAGGCTAGAAAATGCTCTTATATATTATTTTATACTTGAAATACACTTTGCAAACCAAAGACTTAATTTTTCCCCTAGTGCTTGTTGCAGTTCCTTGTGAAATTCTCCTGAAAGTAGGAATGAAATTACAACTTTTCTTTTTTTGAGCTGTCACTGAAAGGTTTCACATTTTCCCACAGAAAAGTTTTTACTCTCTTTGGTCAAATGGTCTCTGCTGATGTTGAACATGGAGAGTGCCTCGTGAAACATGGCTGCTAGCAAGAGCTACCTGGTGCTTAGGTCTCCAAACATAAAATCCTTCTCATGAGTTTGGCTTTGTTAATTGAGCATGTGTGGAGTCTGCATTGTCTGGGAGGGTGGAAGGAAGAGGTCAGTTGAAGTTAACCTTCAGCATTTGCTTTCTACAAACACTTGGAGCTGGCATTGCCACTAAAAGGGGTGGGGAAGGTTGAATTTTAACCTGGCTGGTTCTCTGTGCTTGGCAGTGTAAGGAGCTCTCCTGGGAGCAGGAACAAGGAGCTGATATRTTGGGATAGAGAGCTGGGAGTGTTTGTGCAGCTGGGCTTTGGGGGATCCCTGGCCTCGCCTTGTGCAAGGGGGGCTTTGTCTCTCTGATGGGACTCAGCAGACAACCAGCTTTTCCAAAATTGCTGTTGAAATTAGATTTCCAACCGGGGTATTTCTTTCCTGAATGTCAAAGAGGATCTTTAGGAGTAACAGATTCCAGAACAAACTGTTGACCATATGATGATGCACTTCAAAACCAGACTGCTTATTGGGAGCAGCCTTGTACTCAGAGCCGTGGCTGGAAATGTTTCCCATCAGTGGGARCACCAAGGGCCCATGTCTGCGGTGTCAGTGCCAGGTTTGCTCTGCTCCACGCTGTCTTCAGTGTGGTTGGGGCTCCCTGTCTTGGGCTGTGCCAGGAGCAGAAAAAAGACAGGACTCATTTGAAGTTCTTCGTTTTTTTCCAACTCTTCCACCTCTGTCTGGCTGTGGCCATCTCTTGTTGCACTGTGTGTTTCAGGCTCCTAAGGACAGGGCCATGTTTTTGTGACTCCTGCGTGTGGTGCCACTCCTGATCCAAGCCCCGRATGCTCTTCAGCCCAAACCATGGAAGGTTTTGTTACAGCAGCCCACTGGGCAGTCCAAGCTGTTCAAGAGAGAATGTCCCTGATTGCAAAGTTCCCCTTTGGTTTTGATTTAGAATCMACGTGAATGCATCAATTTTTCAGACAGTGCCACCTGAAGGAACAGCAGGGTCAGTGCTGTCAGCTGCAGCTCCAGCCTGGSATCCACCACGGGGATTGCACTCCTGCTTCCTGAGTGCTCTGAGCTTGTAAAAATGTGCCAGCTCCCCTGGAGGCAGGCCTCTTGGAGACTGGGAGCCTTTGAGATTCTCCAGAGCAATAAGTCTGACTATTTCCTTGTCTAATAAACAGARCAGCAGAGAATCTTAAAGGACCTTCAGATCCATCCACATTCAGACCAGTGTAGTGTTGCCATCCCTCTTTAGTTCATTACTTAATTAGAGTTTAAAGTATGTCTCAATTGTTTCCTTATTGCTTGAAGATCCCTTGGAAATGTCAGGTTTTGGTGGAACAAAGCATTTTCTTCCTGGATGTTAAACTCAACCCTGACAAACTTGAAAAGAAGAGTGGTTCTTTCTTTCTTTCTTTCTTTCTTTCTTTCTTTCTTTCTTTCTTAGAAAACAGTCTGGGAAACTGGGTGTAGCCTGATGTGGTTCATAAGGGTAATGTGGACACTTTAACATTGCAGGTAAATCTGCAGAAGACATATTTGGAGAGTTGTTTACTCAAGCCAACACCTTTGCCTCTCGGGTGAGCGTTCTGGTCGAGAGAGTTGACCGCTTGCAAGTCAAAGTGACTCAGCTGGACCCCAAAGAGGAGGAAGGTAATGGAGTGGAGCCCAGGCCAGGCCTGGTGCAGGCTCTGGTTGRGCCAGCGTGGTTAGTTCAGCCCCATAAAGCCAGCCTGGCACTGCCATGGCTGTTGGAGTGTGTTCTGTGCAGCTCAGTGGGGCTGTTTCCCTTCTCCCAGTAGAGCACTGCTGGCAGCCTTTCTGGCCAGCTCCAGCTTTGCTCCTCAGTGACTCTCCGGGTGGGAATTGCTCTCCAGTGTTGGGTGGCAGCAGATGAGCTGTTGGAGCTTGGTCACAGGGGTTCCAAACCCTGGGGCTGCTCCAGGGAGAGCCATGTTGAGGGAGCAGTGGTACCACACAATGGGATCTGTGGGAAAAGGAACCTGACCTTAGGAAGGCAAAGCATGCCAAGAGCTCCAACTGGTTGAGATCAGGTGTTCATTGCTTCAGTGTCGCTGGCCTGGTCAAGCTGTTCTTCACTCTCTCTCTSCTCTTTACAGTCTCCCTGCAGGGCATCAACACCAGGAAGGCTTTCAGAAGCTCCACCACTCAGGACCAGAAGCTCTTTGACAGAGATTCTCTCCCTGTGCCTGTCCTCGAGACMTACAGGACCTGCAACACTCCTCCTCCTCTCAACATCCTCTCACCTTACAGGTAGGACTGCAATGGCTTCTGCTGCTTTGCAGAGAGGAACCTCCTCCTCCCAACCTACTGGGGAGGTCCTTTCCCCTCCCGTGCTGGAGTAGCTGTTTCCACTGGGAAAATGAGTTGCTAAACTGAGATCCCCCAGGAAATCTCCGTCCTTTGGATTATGKGAAACTTTACTTTTGAGGTCACACAAATGAACGTAGCTAGAAAATGATCTCTGTGGTTTCCTGCTGCCATTTTTGTGAGTGCCTTGGGGCTGGGCTTGGCTGGCACTGCAGAGCCATGCTGGGTGTGCTGCAGATGAGGCATTTTYCTTGTGCTCCTCCATAGTCCCGTGGCTCCTTTCCAAAGAGCTGCAGTGCAGGGTGCCAAACATTCCCCTGGTGGATGCAGCAGGCTCCTGGAGATGCTTCCTGTGCCTCCTGTGCTGGGCTGAGACATCTGGGGGCACCTGCACTGGATGTGTAACCAGCTCTGAGCAGTCTSGCTCTGATTCCATCTTGTGGAAGTAAAGGGGGTCAGAATCCAGAGACTTATCCCACATCCATAAATATCTTTTGAGCAGGTAAAAAGTAATTACAGATAGCTGGAGGCAGCTGTCTCCTGCCAGACGCGGCTGCACTGCAAAGTGGGAGGAGAGGGAGTGTGTGTGCACTCGCTCAGGAGCTTCAAGGACGCTGCTGGTCTGATTTAGGGTTCCTCAGCTGGAGAAGGAGGGTTTTTCACACCAAAATACAGCACAAACAAAAGGGAGTTGAAGTGAGAGACCTGCTGCTCCCTTGGTGGTTGTTAGAGCAGTTGAGCTCTTCAGGGCTGAGTGATGGAGGGTTTGCAGGAGGCAGAAGGGATGGGAAGTGGGAGAGCTGGGATGTGTGAGGCTGGGGGTCTCTTTCTGTTCTGAAATGGGGGACAGAGACACGAGCAGGACTTTGGGCCATCTCACAGCACTTTTAAACTGTCTGAGATTCTGGCTTGTGTTTCCTTCAAAAAAATGTGTGACTTGATCCTTTCCTGTGTGTTTTTTTCCCCTCCCTGTTCCAGGGATGATGGCAAAGAGGCGCTTAAATTCTACACGGATCCTTCATATTTCTTCGACCTTTGGAAGGAGAAGATGCTSCAGGACACCAAGGATATCATGAAGGAGAAGCGGAAACATAGGGTGAGGAAGGGGAGAAKAGGAAGTGGGAAGTGTCAACAAATCTTGGACTCCAAATTTGCTGTCCAAACTTCAGATTTGCACTTTTGGACTCATGAGGGCTCAATTCAGTGAAGTTTTTATCTGGTTTACCCTCATCCTTGTTAATTAAAAAAGAGAACAAAGATGCCTTTAATTGGTTTCTCCAAATGCCACCATCTTTGGRCCCTAATGTGAAATTATATCATAGCATAAGAGATGTAGTCTTAACATACTTTATTTAGCTTKTGAGCAACTGGAGTATTAAGTATGWAAAGAGATTGTGATTCTTCAATGAGAAATAACAAAGGAGAGATTTAGGGTGTGTTAGAATGCCAAGTCAGGCCAGCAAAAACCCATTCTCTGTGGGCAAATATCCATGTTGCACCACAAAACACTGAACACCAGGGTGAAGGTGAACTTTGGGAGTCTCAGCTTAGAGGCCAAAACCTGAATTTGTGTGGGAAACGGAGCTTTTACTGTCCCCTCAAGGTGCTGGTGCCAGGGGGTGATGATGGCATCGTGTCTGGGCTGCACTGGAGAACCTGATGTTACCTGATTTTTATGTTATCTGTGCTCCGGGTTTTTGCTGTGGAAGATCTTTGAAGAATGTAGCAAACTAAAAATCCTCTTTGAGAATGKATCTTGTAACTGCTCCAGGTCTGTTCCTCTCTATTTCTAGAATTTAAGGTAAAATAAAGCTTGTGTTTGATTCTTCCTGTCTTAGAAAGAGAAAAAGGAGAATCCAAACCGAGGAAATGTGAATCCACGGAAAATCAAAACCCGGAAGGAGGAGTGGGAGAAGCTGAAAATGGGACAAGAATTTGTGGAGTCAAAGGACAAGCACGGTCCTGCTGGGTAAGCAGGTCTGGGGCTGGGTGATTGGGATGCAATTCAGCCTGCACTGCAGCTCCTCCGCATCCGCAGATCGATACTGCCACTAATCAGATTCTCCAAAGTAAATCCGKCTGCTGATTTCAAATTTGCCAAATAAATCAGGGAGCTGCACGCTTGGAAGGAGGTGGCAGGAAGGGCCCTGGCTGCTCTCCCTGCCTGTGGGCACAGAGGTGTTGGGAGCTTTGGCTGTGCCCCTCACACCCAGCCCAGGGTGGCATTTCGGTGCCATTGTGTGGTGGCTTTGTTACATTTCACAAATGGCTCTTCACACCCTAAAGTTGAAGCGGGGGCTGTCCCCATCCRAGTATTTCAAGCTACAGATCTCTCTTTAGCACTTCTGGCTTGGGAATTCATTTAACTTTTGACACCAGCAAGGCTGGAAGCAGACCGAATTCCCCACAATGCTCTTCTTCCTTGCAGCTTCCTTTCATATAAGAAAAAAAATCTCTCTTTAAATCACACTCTCCAGCTAAAAATAAAACTTGCTTTTAGTTTAATAGGAGAACAGGTTTGGTTTCTAGCAGGGGAATCGAGCAGCACAACAGCACCATTTTCTTGCTCCTCTCTTTTCTCATGAGCGTGTTCTTGCATTTGGATTCACTTGGGGTCCAGAGCCCCCAAAARTGGAATGGTTCCCCCACCCCACAGTGCAGTGAACCCATCAAAAGTGTGAGAGTCTCTTTTCAGTACTATTCCAGCTTTGGATACTTGTTTTAATTGCTGCTTCTTGGGTCCATTTTGATATTTTATTCTCAAGCTTATTTTTTGGCATCTTTAAGTATCTCCTGTTTTTGCCACTGATGATACTGAGTGTAACTGCAAATTCTTTAAATCCAAGTTGGTCAAAACACTCTTAAGTGTTTTTACAAGTCAAATGTTAAGAAAAATACATTTATTCAGGTGTTTGCTTGTTTCTTAAAATATATACTCCTGCCGTTCTGGTGCGTGGCAGCAATAAACAGGGCAGCATCTGAGCAAATTTTAAAATTTTAGCCAAAGAATTAAGTAGAGCAAACGCATAYAGGTGTATGTGGTTGTCCATATAGAGTATTCGAGAAATAAAGTGGTTTTTARAAAATATATAAAATCATGGACCAGTTTGGGTTGGAAAGGACCTTGGGCAGGGACCTTTCCTCTAGACCAGATTGCTCCAAGCYCCRTCCAGCTYGATCTTGGGCCCTTCCAGGGATGGGGCAGCCACAGAGTCTCTGGACAGCTCTCYAGGGAAAAGCTGAGCTTTAGACTGTGCCCTGAGCTCTTGAAGCAGAGTGCTGGTGGTGCTTTTGGCAGGTACCCCTCCAGCATGGTGTATCAGAACGGCAGCATCGGCTCCAGCGAGAGCATGGACGGGAACTGCCACCCGCCAGCACCGCAGAGCGACTCCATTGTGCCAGCACCTCCCTCGTTCCCAGATGACAGCCTGCCTCCACCCCCGCTGGAATTTAGGTGAGCCTACGGGATCCCTTCTGTCACCCAGCACTAGTAGGTGGTGTAAAAGGATGACATGAGACAGGCTGAGCTAGTTCAGCACAACTTCCTAACGGGTGTTGTATGGGAACCAGAATGCTCCTGTCTGGAAGGAAAGTGCAACTGCAGCGGGGACAGAGCACAGGCAGCACAGCTCTGTGTGAMCCCCAGCCCCTGTCACCATCCCAGGGGAAAGGGAGAACCAGAGCAGGGTTATTCCACAGCAGTGTCTCACTGAATGCTTTGGCTCCATGGCCTGGCTTTTCCAGTGCAGTTGTTCCATAGCATGRCTTTGTTCCTTGTGTTCCATTTGGACACAACACTCTCAGGCACATTGTGACATTCCTGGGGCTGTCCTGTGCAGGGCCAGGAGCTGAACACGATGATCCTTGTGAGTCCTTTCCAGCTCAGGATATTCTATGACAGAGCTTTGTCAAGAACAGCTCCTTTGGCCTCTTTTGCTCTGATCTTTGGGGAACAGATGATGTGGGACTGCAATGGAGATGTATTTAAATTTCAAGGACTTGAGCACAGCAGTTGCCTCCTTCYCAGAGACTTGGGTGCAAGTTCAGCTCCTGTACTTGGGATTGCATGAAATGGTGACTCCCAGGCACCTCCAGAGATAAGAGTTACAGTCCAGCAGTGGCTCAAGACACAAAGGGTGAAACAAGAGTAGACTTTTTCTTTTTTTTAAAGACATTAAAACAGAGTCAAGAGGAACAAGAGCAAGTCTTGTCTGATAGACAGGGCAGCTTGGCTTGTCTCCATCTTATCCAAAGGCAGCARTGCTGCAGCAAAAGCTCTTCTGATGTGTCAGAGAGACCCAGCACTGCACTCTGCAGCCTGTGCCTCTCGGGCACAGCAGATWGGAGCTCTCAGATGGAGCTCTCACTGCCTTACGCAGTCACTTAGAACTCTGCCCAGCCCCACAGATCTCCCCTCTCTGGTTTTGTTTTGGTGCTTGTTTTTAAGGAGCCCTGGGAGGTAGGTTTGATCTCCAGGTTTGAACTCCAGGAGTCTGTTTTGGATCAGCACTGTTAAAAATGCTGATGTTTTTGTGGCAAATAGACCTTATTTTTCTGTCTTGCCGWGGAAGGAGGTGTCAGTTTGGGGCTTGCCTTACACGGGGTGTCACACTGTCACACGTGGCTGCATTCCTGTGGGATGAACAGATGAACAGGGCAGTTCAGTCCCTCAGCTGTTGGTGTTTTCCATAAGAGCTCCTTGGGTTTCCATGTCCTTCCCTTCACTCCCCATGGAGCTCTGGGACGTGGCTGCTGCGCTGCAGCTCCGAGCTGTGGATMCAGGGAGGACTCTGTTCCTAGCAGGTGTTCAGAGCAAATGCTTTCCTGGCATGTGGTTTATCCAGCAGACATSCTGATCCTGCCTCCAGTGGCACAGGCCTGGCCTTGGTGAGGAGCTCTGGGGCCCAGGGGCTGCTCCAAGCTCAGACAGGGCTGAGGTGCCTTGTGTTCTGGTCAGCCTGGGAGATGGGATGGAGGACAGCATTCCTGCCATCCCTTGGAGCTTTCCTTTGTTCTGGAGGGGTAGGCCAAAAGAAACACTGCAAGGGAATTAAAACCAAGGAGTGAGGTCTCATGGAAACATCAGTTAAAGCTGGAACTTTGATTTTTTTTGTCTGGACTGTGGCAAACACACATGATTTGCATTAACATTGAGACTGTACAGTGTGATSTGGCCTCAGAGTTAATTCCCTGTCTCTCTCCTTCTGTTGCCACAGCTATCCTGTAGACAACCAAAGAGGTTCTGGTTCTGGAGGGCCCAAACGATCCAGCYTGGTCAGCCCGAGCCACCCACCCCCAGCCCCTCCCATCGGCTCGCCCTCGGCAGCCAGGCCGGGCTTTGCTCCCCCTCC